ACCCCTAAAGCACGTAAAGGATCACTATAGTGTCAGGAAAACAAACTCGTTTTCTTGACACTATATAACCCTTATTTCCTCCCCTACCTCAGGGCCCCCCTCCCGCTGGGCTAAAGTGGTGAAATCCCCATCAGCTCTTACTTTAATCCAGCGCCGGGCTCCCTTGGCGCTGGTGACCTCTCCACCCACTCCGTCAGCTCCCGAGTGGAGCCAAATGCGCATACGCGGCAAGAGTCGCGCGTGCCTTGAAAATACCCATAGGAAAGCATTTCTCAACGCTTTCCTATGGACGTTATGCACGCTGAATGCGATTTTCGCATTTAGCGTCGCAGAAGCGCCTCTAGCGGTTGTCAGGAAGACAGCCACCAGAGGCTAGATTAACCCTGCAATGTAAACAGCAGTTTCTCTGAAACTGCTATGTTTACATCTGAAGGGTTAAAACCTGGGGGACCTGGCACCCAGACCACTTAATTGAGCTGAAGTGGTCTGGGGGACTATAGTGGTCCTTTAAGCTTGCACAAGTGCTTTATGTGTGAAGACAATATCCTCTTTTTCATTTTACAAAAAGTAACTTTCGATAGAAATTGTCACTTTTATAAATCAGACAAGCGTTCTGTTACTTCCCTGTTTATTTAGCTCAGTGTAGCGAAACTCAAAAGGCAGACAATTGCTCAGAGCACCTGCCTTGCAAAGGCTTCAGCCAAACGATCTGCCACTTTTGCAAAGCTGTTTTTAGATATAATCCCAATGAAAATAAAATGCATAATTAAATGCATGCATGTTCTCATTAAAGGCATTTCTACTAAGCAGTGATATTTAATTTTATTTATTAAATTTTATTTTGCCAAATCCACCATAATTTCCTGGATACAAACTACTTCAAGGCAGTGCATCAAAAGTCCTCACTGTAAGAAGGCAGAATTAATAGGTTGCAAGAGATAAATTATTCAATCAAAGTGCAAATCAAAATAGGTTTGTGCACAAATCCCTTTCAGCTACATTTAACTAATCAAATGCCTGTCATTCTGTGGGTGGGTGAATTAATCTATTCATTCAGATTTGACTAACAAATCGATTTTGTTGTCCATAAGAATCTAATCCAAAAAGGTGCTTTAATTAGCCTGTTGACTTCTCCCTGTAGCATTTGAATTCTGTATTGCAGGTCAGATCTTTTCATGCATCAACTAGCAGCATGTAAAAGTGAGATTAGGCCAACCCGATGCTGTCTAAAAAGTTCTTTAGCATCAAAATTACCAAGTTAGGTTGAAAGCAGCATCAAATTACATTTAACTAATGACCAAAGAAACACGAATCCACATTTGTGTGATACATAGCTCTTATTAATTATATAGGGTTGTTCAGTTACCTAAATTGACTACAACAAAATGCTTTGTGATTCATTTACGAAACACCAAATTGTAGCAATATAAAAGTTGGAGAATAAACAAGCAGTACTTCTGGCTATGACTACATATTTCAGAGATCTACAATAACAAAATAGTTTCTGTGTGCGTGTTGGTTTTGGACGAGATTGCCACGTGGACACACCGAGATCTGACTCACAAAGACTGTTCTCATTTCGACAGTGCAGCCATTTAAATGGTAAGTTATTTTCATCATCGTTCCTTTTTCCATCAACTTCTATTTGTTTTATTTTGAAACAGATAACTTTTCTATAGAGTTACTCCCTAAACTGGGAACAGTGAAGAACTGATATGGCACTCGCAAATATTTTGCGAAAAGAACTGCCTGTGTTTAATATGAGCAGGATTAAATCTTTAAGACAAACATTTATGGTCTGATGATAGTCACAACTTAAAATATCAGGAAGTATTACTTTACTGAGAGGGTAGTGGATGCATGGAATAGCCTTCCAGCTGAAGTGGTAGAGGTTAATACAGTAAAGGAGTTTAAGCATGCATGGGATATGCATAAGGCTATCCTAACTATAAGATAAGGCCAGGGACTATTGAAAGTATTTAGAAAATTGGGCAGACTAGATGGGCCAAATGGTTCTTATTCTGCCGTCACATTCTATGTTTCTAAAAAAAATGTTGCCATTCAGATTCCAATTTGCTACAGTTTAAAATTGAGTGAATAAAACCTATAAACTGAGAAAATGTGCTGTATGTTTTGGCCTACAATTTTGCAACTCTCTTACATTTCAGCAAAACGCCCGGTTTTTGATTAAATGTATATTGTTATTTTTATTACCAGAATACATTACTATTTACATTGCAGTGTGTTCAAATTATATAATTTCTTATAAATATATACAATAAAAAAGGTTTTTTAATTAAAACCATTTGACAATGACAAGCACAGTGCAATCACCACACTCAAATAGTTAAATTTAGTTTACAAAACATCCTTGCACATTGACTTTAAAAATGTGGTATGCAAATAGCCAGAGTAAGTGGATTCTTGCAGTGAGAGTATGGCCTTTTATTGCAGTAGCTTTACCCATAATGTGTATATATTCTGTATAAATACTAATAGAGGTTTACTCACTAAATTCTGTATTGCAGCAAACTGAAATCTAAATTGTCAATTTCAGGCTAATAGTTTAGCAGTGGCTATAGCAGAGTTGCAGATTCCATATTGGCTAATATTGCCTAAATTATGCCATTTGAATTCAGTTACAAGCAATTCAGCGCTTAGTGAATAAATCCCAAATATAAACATATATTGGGTTGTTTTGGGGTTTTTTTTTTGTTTGTTTTTTTTAATATATTTTTAAGAAACTATGAATTTTGGTTAATTGAAATCCCAAATGCAAATTGTAGACAAGAATATGAGATTTAGAAATTGCTATAGTCACATACTTGAAAACGAGAGAAATCTCAATCTATCCTTAATCCTAGATATTCTCCCCCAAAAATCACTTTGTATTGTTTTAGTGCAGTTCCCAAACCAGCCCTCAAGGCACCCCATACCAGTCCAAGATTTAGGGATTACCCAGTTGTGTCTAAAGTGTGTTTTTTGTTTCTTTTTTTGTGTGTTTTCTTTTTTTTTGTTCTATACACAACATATATCACCAAAACAACTTTAGCTTAATTAAACATTATTTTTTTTTGTGTGTAGAATAGATCATTGCTCTGAAGTTTCACTGACCAATGTTCTGCCTTTAGGAATTAGATCACTTTTGTTTCTGCCCATGCAGCCCTAGCCACTCCTTGGCTGTGAGTGACACAGACTGTCTGAAAAAAAAGTTATGGTTTCAGTTTAACTTTTTTAAATTGAACTTTATTCATACAGAGGAGGCTCCTGCAAGGTCTTGCAAGCTATTAACAGTGGAGAAGATAAGAAATTCTAAATTAAACAGACTGTTCAATAGATTTGACTTCACAGGAAATGTTGAGGAAGACCAAGTAAGTCACATTCAGATAGGTGTAAGTCACATTTAGGGAGGTGTAACTAGAGCTACATAAACAAAGTGATAGGCATGTGCATAGGGAAAATTTTCGGTTCGGTTCGGCATTCTGAAATTCGGGACTTCAGCACTTCTCTTGCAGCCGCTTAGTAGATAACTCCCTAATTCCCATGGTATTAGGGAGTTATCTACCAAAGGCTGAAATACCTAAATTGGTCTTTCAGCCAAATTTACTAATACTAAGTAAAAATTACTTAGTATTAGTAAATTTTGCCCCTACTCACTATACCGCGAGTAGGGGCATGTCTAGTAAACAGTGAGCAACCTGTTGCTGCTCACTGTTTAAAAAAAAAAAAACCTATTGTCCTCCCCCCGGCCCCCACCCCTGAGCGGTGGGTGGGGGCCCTAAATAATAGGGGGGGACCTAATGTCCTCCCCCATGGCCCCCACCCCTGAGCGTCGGGTGGAGGCCCTACAGTAAAATAAGGGGAGGGGGGAACCTAATGTCCTCCCCCTGAGCAGTGGGTACTAATAGGGGGGCCTAATGTCCTCCCCCTGGCCCCCACCCCTGAGCGGTGGGTGGGGGCTCTAAATACTAATAAGGGGGGGGTACCTAAAGTCCTCCCCACCCCTGAGTGGGGTGTCCTTTCCCACGCTGTGTAACGGTGGATTTCAAACCAACCAATCAGAGTGCTGTGACAGGTAAATGTAGAGACTTACCTGTCTAGGAACCCGTAGTCACCTGGGGGGGACATTTATTTAGGGCCCCCACCCGCCGCTCAGGAGTGGGGGCCGGGGGGGAGGACAATAGGTCCCCCCTATTGGTATTTAGGGCCCCCACCCACCGCTCAAGGGTGGGGGACAGGGGGAGGACATTAGGCCCCCCCCTTATTAGTATTTAGGGCCCCCACCTGCCGCTCAGGGGTGGGGTCCAGGACATTAGGTCCCCCCCCTTATTTTACTGTAGGGGGTGACTAGGGGTTTGGGAACCCCTAGTCACCTGGGGGTGGGGACATTTTTATTTAGGGCCCCCACCCGCCGCTCAGGGGTGGGGGCCGGGGGAGGGAGGACAATAGGTCCCTATTGGTATTTAGGGCCCCCACCCTTCGCTCAGGGGTGGGGGCCAGGACATTAGATCCCCCCCCTTATTATAAGTTAGGGTCCTCACCCACCGCTCAGGGGTGGGGGCCAGCGGGGAGGATATTAGGTCCCCTTCTTATTATAATTTAGGGCCCCCACTTGCCGGAGGACAATAGGTCTCCCCATTATTTTATATTAGGGCCCCCACTTGGCGCCGCAATAGGCCCGCATCGCGGGTGGGGGCTTTTTTTTTTTTTTTTAACAGTGAGCATGCTGTTCACTGTTTAATAGACATGCCCCTACTCGCAGTATAGCGAGTAGGGGCATAATTTACTAATACTAAGTAATTTTTACTTAGTAAATTTGGCTGAAAGACCAATTTAGGTCTTTCAGTCTTTTAGTAGATAGCTCCCTAATACCGTAGGAATTAGGGAGTTATCTACTTATTCATTCTGGTCATTACATTGACTGGCCAAGTAACTTACATTTTATATGAATGTATGTTACTTGATTGTTGTAAGTGTTGCAAATGCTTACAGCTGAATCCTGGCTATGTTTGTATACTTTTTATTTAAAATTGTATACAATGTAACATTCTTCTTCTTTCACTGGGTAAGTATATTAGTACTTAGGCAATACTGTGCTTTGGCACTTTGACACTTCGGAAATTCGGTCATTTCAAAACCTCTGCAATTCGGACATTCGGAAGTACCCGAATGTCCGAATTCATATTCAGACCAAAACGAATTGCACATGTCTACAAAGTGATTTAACTCATAAATGGCAGAGAACTGAGCAGTGAAACTGCATGAGGCATTAGAACTATTTCAATACGATAGTTTTTTGGTAACTTTAGTATTCCTTTAAGGAAACAGCTTCAGTTGCCTGCCTTTCACATAATGACACAAGCATTTTTTGCAATTTTGCTATGAGTGTGTTCAACACTGCTTCAGTTTGCTTGTTTTGTAGTTAAAAATGCACGCACATTTTGATATGTATATATTTAACCGCTATTTCCATCTTCCTCATTTATTGCACTAACCCATATTATATACTGTTTTTTTAAAAGACAAAGGGTCTTAAACGTGATGTGACATACAAATTCTCATGTATTATTACAAAAAGAAAAAATACAAAAGTAATGGAAAGTTTTTTTTTTGTTTTTTTATTTATTACAATCTATGCATGATAGGTGCAGCTTAAGAAAAGTAATTTAAAAATCAATTAATTTATTGACCATGAATTATAGAGTACATCACATGTTTAGGATTTCAGTTTAGTTTTGGTAGTTACAGGTCACAAAATACAAGGATAAAAACAGGGGGGTAGGTGCGCTTCAGTAATCCTTGACAAGGTATATGTGGAGAGAACCAGAGAAGAAATAATAGTGTAGTATTTAAAACTGTAGTGGTGATGGGTAGAATAAAAGGTGTGCACTCACACTTTCCTGGAGCTTATTGGAGCCAATTTTGTTGAATGGGTAAGGCAGTGGCTGAGTGACAGGCAACAGAGGGTTGTAGTCAATGGAGTATATTCAAAGCATGGGCTTGTCCCCAGTGGGGAACCTCAGGGATCTGTACTTGGACCCATTCTCTGTAATGTTTTTATTAGTGACATTGCAGAAAGTCTTGATGGTAAGGTATGTCTTTTTGCTGATGATACTAAGATATGTAACAGGGTTGATGTTCCAAGAGGGATAAGCCAAATGGCAAATGATTTAGGTAAATTAGTAAAATGGTCAGATTTGTGGCAACTGACATTTAATGTGGATAAGTGCAAGATAATGCATCTTGGACATAAAAACCCGAGGGCAGAGTACAGAATATTTGATAGAGTCCTAACCTCAAGATCTAAGGAAAGGGATTGAGGGGTGATTATTTCTGATGACTTAAAGGCAGGCAAACAATGTAATAGAGCAGCAGGAAATGCTAACAGAATGCTTGGTTGTATAGGGAGAGGAATTAGCAGTAGAAAGAGGGAAGGGCTCATGCCTTTGTACAGAACACTGGTGAGACCTCACTTGGAGTATTGTACGCAGTACTGGAGACCGTACCTCCAGTAGGATAGTGATACTTTAGAGAGAGTTCAGAGAAGGGCTACTAAACTGGTTCATGGATATCAGGATAAAACTTACAAGGAAAGGTTAAAGGATCTTAACATGTATAACTTGGAGGAAAGATGAGACAGGGGGGATATGATAGAAACATTTATATACATAAAGGAAATCAACACAGTAAAGGAGGAGACTATATTTAAAATAAGAAACCACAACAAGAGGACAGTCTTAAATTAGAGGGGCAAAGGTTTAAAACTAACTGGAAGTATTACTTTACTGAGAGGGTAGTGGATGCATGGAATAGCCTTTCAGCTGAAGTGGTGTAGTTTAAGCATGCGTGGGATATGCATAAGGGTACCCTAACTATAAGATAAGGCCAGGGACTAATGAAAGTATTTAAAAATAATTGGGCAGACTAGATGGGACGAATGGTTCTTATCTGCCGTCACATTTTATGTTTCTATGAGCTTCAGTACAGCTCCAGTGTATGCACCTGGGCTGAATAATCCCCGCCTATGGATCAAGTGCAGAGCTAATTCTTCGAATTATAGGTGTGGTAGTGGGTATCCTCATTTAAAAAAAAAAAAAAGAAAAAATTGTATATGGTGAAGTATGTAGAGCTATGGAGCAAGAGTTTGTAAAAACTATAAAATGTACACTCACGTGTAATGGAGTCGTAAAACCTGGCTCCTGATAGTGCTTGAAGTGGTATGATCCCAACTCAAGGATACAGGTGTAAATATAAATTCTTTCATCCGTGTACATGTGGAGATAAACTAACAGAACCACAATAGTGTACACTGTAAAAAAGAGTGTAAACAGAAATAAATAAGTTAAACCTACTCACATGCTAAAGAGCAAGTTCCGGTTTTGGTGGTATGATCCACACCAGGGATATCGCTCCAAACAATCCAACAGCAGCAAAGTTAGGTCCAATTAAAAAAAGTACTTTAATATAAAAAAAAAAGTCATACAATATATAATAAAATAGTGATAAAAAAAGTTATAAACAATACACTTATTCTATTTTTAATTGGACCTAACTTTGCTCCTGTTGGATTGTTTGGAGCTATATCCCTGGTGGGGATCATACCACCCAAGCGCTTGTGGTTCTGTTTGTTTATCTCCATTTATACACGAAAGAGGGCATTCTTCCTGTATATAAATCATCATACAACAACCATCATCCACTATAATACAAAACCAAATATCACCACAGTGATTGAAAATAGTGAATTGTAAGCACAAATAATACTTAACTTTAGAATCAAGGAACAGCCTCCCAAAGTCGCTACCCAAAGGCGACCTTTAAACAGTACATTGAAAACCAAAGGCAAATATTGGGATACGGCTGAATTGATCTAAAACAAGGGGAAATATGCTAAATATAATGTAATACAGTAAACACAATGTATGATGTACCACATAAAATGCACTCCAAGATGGTGACGAATACAGCGCTCATAGGGTGCCTCCCCCGAAATAGTTGGGGGACACACACATGGAGGTGCTCTAACTTCACAATGGAATTCTTGTATAATGAAATACGCCCACTGATCGACCAATAAACGTATGGGTTTAGACCTATTTAAAGGGACGTTTTGGGTGGGGGTATTAGCATATGTTAATATCTTTTGTGATTATATACATTTTTTTTATGTCATTGTGGTCCCTGAGAAAAGTTCCTCTAGCAACGAAACTTGTAGGACTGATTTTTCTTTTATATTTATACCTATGGTGATTGTTCACCTTTTTATACAATAAATCATCCTTTTTTAACCTTCATCCATTTGGAGTCCTGTATAACCATCTGCTGTTCGTGGAGTGGAGAGTAGGACCAATAGCCCCCCCCCAACTATTTCAGGGGAGACACCCTATGAGCACTGTATTCATCACCATCTTGTGAGCCATCATCCACTGTATGATGATTTGTAAAACAATAATACATTTATATGGCTGGGGGGACGCTGTATGGTGCTATAGGTATACAGGGTGCCCCTCAGCCATACCATGTTATTATACAAATTTTCATACAGCACACCCATCCAGGTATGCAGGGCCTCTCCGGCCATATAATTTTGTGTGACCTCTACTGGCTGTCACTCAATAGGCCCTTAGAGGTGCTTCCCGAAGTGGTGTTCAGCATCTCAACGCCCGGGATGTAGAAGCTGAACGCTCAACAATAGTGTTACATTGACATAATGCATCGCTATGAGGATATGTTAATTGGTGTAGCGCTGTTTTGCCATGCATGCGCAGTAGCCTCCCAAAGCCATTCTATTGAATTGGATTGGTTGAGATCATCAAACATGATGATCTCTGCCAAGGAAATGGAGTGGGGCAGGGCCTGATGCGTCTCTGGAAGAAAGGAGAGTAAAATAACCTTTGTTTTTTAAATGCAGGCAAGGGGGGGGCTAGATTCTAAATGGTGTTATTAAAACTTTAGTGTCAGAAATACTTGTTTGCATTCCTGACACTATAGTGTCCCTTTATGTACAGAACAAACAAACTAAAACCAAGGCTTTAAGGCATTAATAAAAAAAAAATGGTGCAAAATACATATTCTTTCTCTTGTGAGAACAAGGTGTATACAAAGAATTTCACCAAACCATTCACAAGCTAATCCACACTTACACAAAAGAGGGAGGACAGTTTAGCCCTGCAATAGAGGGTGCCAGTGCACGCCTATGCACTGTAATGGTAAAGACATATTTACAGTTAGAAACAAACCTTTTCTTAAAGAATTCTTTTTTTATTACAGAGAATAAGGAAATTGTCTGTTTATAGGACAACTTCCCATCATCAACAATGTGGCTTCTATTCCTGGTGGTTGCATTCGCTCTAATCATCCTGTACAGATGGCACAGACAGAGCCAGATACTGCAGAATCTCTCTGATAAATATGTGTTCATTACTGGATGTGACACTGGATTTGGAAACCTACTGGCGAAGCAGTTGGACCAGCGTGGGATGCGGGTGCTGGCCGCTTGTATGACAGAGAAAGGGGCTGAGGATCTGAAGAAGGAGACATCCAGCAGACTGCAGACTGTAATCTTAGATGTTACTGACAGTCAAAGTGTGAGCTCTGCTGCCAAGTGGGTTAATGACTGTGTTGGGAAGTCAGGTAAAAAGAAAAAAAATTATAAAAAATAATTGTGTGTGTGTGTGCGCAACGCTGTATTTAGCACAAGGCTGACAAAACAAAAAACATTTCCTGGTGGGCCCAAGAGTTGGCCAGCTGGACACATCAGGGCCCCCTTGAGGCAGGCAGCTGCTTATTTTGGAGGCAGGCGCCGAGTGAATGCTGTTGTCTGAGCTCTTCCTGCTCAGCTCCCTCACATGCCGGGTAGTGATAACCAAAGGTAGGGAGGCTGGGTGGATTTCAATTAAAATAAACTTTTACATATAACTTGTGAGTGTGTTAGACAATGTGTGTAAGTGTGTGCCTGAGTCAATGTGTGTTTGTCAGTGAATGTGTGTGTTTGTCAGTGTGCATCTGAGCTAATGTGTGTGTTTGTCAGAGTGCATCTGAGCTAATGTGTGTGTCTGGAAGTGTTTACCTTTCAGTGAATGTGTGTGTCTGTCAGTGAACATGTGTGTCTGTGACTATGTATCTGTTAGTGAGTTTGTGCACATACCTGTGAGTGAGTGGGTGTGTATCAGGGGGTGTGTATGTGTCTGTTAATGAGTGTGTGTGTCTGTCAGCGAATGTATGTCACTGTATGTGTATCTGAAAGTGTGTGCATGTCAGTATGTG